CTGTGTATTAAGAAAAATAAGTTTAAGAATTTATTTGTAAATAGTAATAATCTATATACACATATAATGTTTAATAATTGAAATGTTTTACAAATACTAGTCCACTAAAACACACAGCCAAGACTTAAAGGTTAATTTTATATGATTGGATACTGTAACATGAATGCACGTGCGTCGCGTTATTGTAACTTTGGTATTGTTAGTCAGGCACTGTTTAGAGGTCAACATAATTAATATATATATATAAATGTTACGGGATTTAAGCTATTTAGACTAAACATTCGTGTTATAATTTGTAGTCATTCTATACTCCATAAATGTATATTAAAATCCATTAACATGTGCGAAGGTTATGTAGAGTTCAGCAAAAGTCATTTAGAAGTCAACAGAGGCCAGCTAGAGGTCATTGTTCTATACTTATCAAAAATAACCAATTTGAAGGTGCCGAATTATGGCAGCTAAGACATTACAATATCTTCGGCTTGTTAATTATGTAAAAAATATCGTTTTAAAATACACTAGACTTAGAGATTTTCAAGAATTAGAGCAGGGTATAATAATAGTATTCCAACCACATTATATTCGTCTTATCCAGTGCCGACGACGCGTTTCGCTCAATCCAGAGCTCATCAGACTTTTTCTAATTCTTGAAAATCCTTAAGAGACTAAATGTAGAATACAGTGTTAGAAAATATAATAGGCCTAATGTCTAATGACAAATAAATTAATTATAATCCTGCCTCGCCAGCTTGGAAAATGTGATCACATCGTAACAATATTATACACTGTTGATATTGTTATATTAGTAGTGTTACTCGGCAATACATTGGCTGGCTTTTATTATTATTGTTTTTTTTTCTATCAACGAGTTTTGTCCCATTTCTGTTCAAGCTACCTTTTACGACTTGGGCATTATCTTACCAGATACCTGAAAATATTTCCCACAGATTAATGGCATTAACACCCAAGGTGAAAACATTGCAGACAATGGAGGACTGAAGGAAGCCTATAGGGTAGGTTTCAGTTTTGGTACGAAATGTTTAACTGAATACCCATTTTTTTTAATACTGATATTCTAAGCCTAACTAAGAAAAAAAAACGTAGCAGCTCATTAATGTGCTAACCCTTTTCGCATCAAAGACCAAACAGAAAAAAAGAAGTAAGATAAATATTGTTCTGAACAGTTAAGTTCATTTGTCCTGTTTTCTATAAAAGAAAAAAGAGAACACGTGTGTTTCGCATCCGGTTATTTATCATGTTGTGTTGGTTTCCATTGTATTTGTGCATTTAGGCTTACAGATCATGGGTCAAAGATCATGGACCCGAGCGTTACTTGCCTGGCCTGAAGTACACACCTGAACAGCTGTTTTGGATTAGTGCAGCAAACGTAAGAGATCTGATTTTGTTTCTGTAAATTGTGATCTTTACTACGTTAAGGTTTTTTTTTTTTACATTGTGAAATTGTCTTTGATTGTAAGACTTTGGTGATGTAAAAAGAAAAAAATATTTGTATATGATTTACGGACAACGTTTCGGGCTTCGTGTTGAGGGAAATGTGGGTGGGGCGAGAAGTGTGTTTGGGTAAGTGTCACCTATCTACTTTTTTATGGCCTGATTAAGTACTTTAGAATTTGAGTCGGCTGTGGCCTGGTAGCTAGCGTACCGCACTGTGAATCCGAGGATACAGATTCTCGCCCTACTGCCGCAAAATCGCACTCCTAATTATTTTGTTGAGGGTGTAGGTGCGTTATAAGAGTGAGGGTCAAATTCTACTATTTCATCATAGTAGCACAAACGTAAGAAGAACAAGCGCCGTTATTATACACTTTCGACCTGGTGGTCTTCTATACACAGATCTAGTAAGGAGGGGGGACCATTTAAGAAAGAATGTTGTAGTGACCAGCAGAAGGGGGGCGTAATCTTGACAGTTATGTTTGATTTTATATATATATGTGTGTGTGTGTGCATGTATGTTTAAGGGATTTTTAACGTGGGGAACACATGTATATATATTTGTCGTCCTCCACCCCTAAAGGTCCAGGGGACTCGTCCCCCATGTTTTTATCTATTATTTCTTGGTGTGTGTTTGTATATGATTTGCCCGAAGGGGTACCAAAGGGGTCACCTGTTTTGACCACTCACACTATACAGTAGTGTGTTGTCTGTCAGTCAGTCTGTAGACACTAAAAGAACGTCACGCAAAGGACACTTAACGTTGCAATTTGGACTGTCGTGACGTCAGTAAAACGTGCGCATGCCATGAATCACGAGAAGAATTTTGCACTCTGTAGGCTACAACACACCATAATACATGAACTTCAAAAGCAAGAAAAAAATACTTTGTTACTCTTCATTTTGGTTTTATTTCCTTTTGACACAAAACACGCGGAAGTACATCTTGTATTT